TAGATTTATGTTAGTTCTCAGGTTTTTCTGTTTTCCTCTGTTGCCCTCTTGTGTGTGTTCCTTTCCCCTTGGCTCCCTCGTTGTCTCCTCACACCTGCTCCTCATCAGCTCGTCAGCCCTGCCTTTGTCTCAGTCAGCTGCATATACTCTCCCTCTGCAGTCACTCCTTGTTGGTTCCTTGTCGTTGCTGGCTTCTCATGTTGTTGTCTTCAACACTCGTCTCTCCCTGGCACCTCGTGTTTGGTTTCCCCTGATGTCTCCATGGTTCTGGTTTGCATTACATTTTTAGTTGGATTTTTGGATTCTTGCCTTTGTTAAACTGTTTCCTTTGATTAAATCACCTCTGCCTCCCTGCCTCTGCATTTGGGTCCACAAACACCAACCAAGGCGTGACAGCTGCAGACGAAATAACAAAGACTGACGCACACCAGTAAAAAGCATCGATGACTGTTTCACAGGTTTTAGTTTTAACAATAGTCTTAAATGATGAAAGTAAGATCTGAAAACTGATCCAGATGATTTCCACATTTAAACTCACTGTTCTAGTTTGTAACGGTCAATTTAAAATATGCTGTCAGAGGTCCTGGTAGTGGAGACACAGAGGAGGATTTGGTTCAAACACTTTAACTCCAGCTTTCTTCTCACTAAAGTTTATAAAGTTCATGTCCAGGCAGGCTTTATTACTGGAGCCGAGAGCAGCCTGTGGAGTTAGGAGGCTCAGACGGAGGCATTTCTGGCAAGAAGTAAGGTTCAAATCTATTTCAGGGTTCCTACAGCATAAGGCAAGTTAAATTCAAGACTTTTTAAGACTTTTTAATGCCACTTGAAAAAAAAATTGAAAACAAAATCAAAAAAAAAAAAAAAAAAAACCTGCTTGCATCAACTTAACCCAAAGGTTTATTTTAACATAAACCCCTGCACTGATGTTTCAAATGTTGAAAAGCTTCCCATACAGGAAGAAAGCTAAAAACACACAAATGACAGATATATTTGAACAATTATTTAACT